ACATCTATTTCTCACTCGCCTAATAACAATAAGAGAGACAAGGGTTAAAGTAAATTTGACTCAGTTAGGTCCCAATTTAGAAAATTATAATTTTCAATGTTGCAGCGCTAAAGATTGTTAAATTAAGTTGATTTTCACGTGAATATACCTGCAAAATCTTTCAATTTTGTCCGAAATATTTTTGTTATAAATAAACTATATTTTAGACAATTTGTTAGCACCATATCATTCTACATAAAAAACTACAAATCTCGTCCATTAGAACTTTTCATGTATCTCCTCTGGTTTTCGAGATAATACTTTCGGGACGAAAGTTCGAGGGGTGGTTTCACCCCTTAAATTCGCATTTCAGCCGATAAAAAAAAATACGTATCCCTTATTTTCGACTGCTTAACATATATACGAAGTTTCATGAAAATCGGAGGGGGACACTTCCGTGTCTTCCCTTGAAAGAAAAATTGATCACAAAGGGACCATAAAAAAAAAGAATTTGTAATAAAATTTGTAGAAAAGTTCTGACACCTAATTGTTGTTTCAGAAGTCTGACGAACGTGTGACACTGTAATTTGACAAGAAAGAAGATAGCCCTCAAATCGAGTAAATAAATTTTTATCGAATCGATAAAAGAAGCCTTCAAATCGAAGCACTTTCGACCAAAGTGTGAATACTGTCGAATATACACTAAACAAACAATTTGTTGCAGATTCAATCCGATTACTTTAATACCATACCACACGAAACAGAAGTGACGTCTGGGTGTGTCTTTGGTGGTGTCAGCGAAAGGGGTCGGAGAGAGATGGCGGGTTGGAGAGATGGTCAACTGAGCAGACGAATAAATCGATGGTGGTTGGGTGAGGGGGACAGACAGACTTTTTAATAGAGTCTACGACAAGGGGTCTATGGTGAGTCTATCGGGTGATACACAATGTTCCCAGATCAAAGGATTCATTTCGCTTCAGAAACACTCTGGAGGTAGAATCATAACAGGCGGTCCGCGCCTTTAACGGAACTGACACGTGTCGAAGAAGACTCAGGCGTATCAGTTCCGCTTGATCGATTGGTGCCGGTTAAAAGTCACCTGGTATGATTCTACCCTGAGGCCAGCATCGATCGAAACATCATAGGAGCGTTTTTATCGTGGTTTTACTCTTTCTTTTTTTTTTTCCAGTCAGCGATTTCAGCACTTCGACGGTTGTTATACAGGGTGTAACAGAAGTGTTGTGGTTCCCTGAAATGGGTCACTCGTGAGGTGATGTGGAACAAGTTTCTCCTTGGTGAAAATATTATGTGAGACTTTGTTCATGAGATGTTAACGAAGGAACTAAGGAATAACTTGTTCCAAATTATAATTCAACACTTTTGTTGCACCTTGCATAGAAGTCGCGAGTATAATGATGGCGTGGACACAGTTTCTTGTTGAAAAATTAAAGAACAAATAAAACGTGTATAATGAATTATTTTTGCAAGGGGTTTTAGTCTGGAGAATGCTCATCTTGAAGATCAAGTGGACATGTATCGAGGCACACCTGTACCGTCCGTCTAAGTATTCGTCGGTATTTCTACTTGACATACAGTGGTCTAGAATCGAAATTTAGCAGCTCGTATATGCTGATTTAGCCCTATGAATAACAAATTTTGTAACTTAGTAGTGTTATCCAAATACAACTAGATGATCAGTTTCTTGGAAGATGAAAGAAATTTGTTTTTTACCATTGATTCTGGACCACGTGATTAACGTATCCAGATACGTAATAACGTGTATTTAACGTATGATGTTTCATCGTATTCCGTCACGAACGTTCCCATTGCATCTGGTACCATTGACGAAACGGAATGTTTGTTAAATACATCGAATGATAATAACAACGTAGAAGGGACACGATGCTAGCCCTGCTGCCATTTTGCTGATGGTCGCCTGGTGCCCCGGTTTTGCTGCCTTTTCTCTTTTCTCGTAACTCCTCATGGGGTGAGGGCAGGGACTTCTACCGAAACGTAAAATACCGGTATTATACCGGTATGTTCGGTTGCACCTTCGTATATAACCTTATATGTATAAGCCCTACCCTTATAGAAATCGAATAAATACCGGTATTTATTTCGGTTTTCGGTACAGCTTCGATGGCATAATACCGGTATTAAAATCATATCGGTTTTAGTCCCTGGGTGAGGGTGGGGGGAGGATCTCTCGTTATTTATTTTTCACGAGAAGGGGCTCTACAAAAAAACCTACGGTTTCGCAGCCTACGGTTGAAAAAGTCTTGCAAGCAACAGAAAAGATAAACGGAAAAAAGTGTCATATCCCGCCAAGAGAGAAACATGGCAAAACTGCACACAACCGGCGTTAAAGATTCTTGGACTGGTTTTATTGTTTATATATATACTTACCATCTTGATGTCACTAATTGTCGCGATGCTTCGCACAAACAGGTTTACCCGGACAATGGCCGGCCCATCTAAGGGCAAAAACAATAGAGCCCCTATTTAGTCAGTAAAAATCGTTTTTCGTGTCTTACAATACTCTACTGGATATGATTTTTCTTATTTTTCTTTTTTTTTAGTATTTCATTCTTTCGATTCGATTTTTTCCGCTACTTTTCTCAATCTTGTGGGGCCTGGTTAGGTCTCACCTCCATGAATGTTCATTTTTTTCGTTCGTAAGGAGGGGGTCAATTTTTTCCCACAAATTCGATACAACTTGTCCATTCTAGTATACAGGGTGATAGAAAAACAAAGGTGCATAACTTGTAAGACAGATAGGACTCACCAAATGATGAAAAAAAATCCTAGTCGAAAAATGAGTACTTTCTAAGTTATAAACAATTGTTCGTTTCGGGTCAATTCGAATGACTCACGTTTTGGGAGTTATCGTACCCCACAAAAGCAATGAACTATCGTATCGATTCTTCTTTTCCTGATCACAGAACGTCCTCTACAGTTTTCATTAATTTGTTCACAATTTTTTATAATGTACGATAATTCACGAAACGAGAAAAGTCACTAGATTTAACCGAAACAAAAAACAATTGTTTATAACTTCGAAAATATCAATTTTTCGACCCACGTATATTAGCACCTCTTTTCATCATTTGGCAAGTACTATCTACCCTAAATTCTGTCCAACCTAAGGATACCGTATATCCTCGATGAGTGTCCGAAGGCACCTCGGCACTGACCATTAAATATTTCATAAACCCCTATACAGCTGAAACAAGTATCATTTTCATAAAAATTCCAAGCTCTATCACCGTGCTAAACCTAATCAGAAAGTTAGGTTTAGTAAATCTTCAATCGAGCCTTCGAACACTCATCGTGGATTTACTGTAACTTCACGATGTGTGACTTCAAACATTACAACGCCTTCCTAGATCCATCCCACGCGGAAAACTGAGTTATCCTTCACTCACAGAACATAATTATTACACAAACTGTCCCAAAATAGTTGTAGTCCTTAAAATTGTGATTCCTGGGGTGATTTGAAACAACTTTTCCCTTACTGAAAAATTTCTCCGATTCTTTGTTAACGAGATATTAACGAAAAACCCCCGACCAATCAGACCTCATCCGACAGCCTCGCGCTCTGATTGGTCGTGGGATTTTCCTTAATATCTCGTTAACAAACCGTCGGAGAACTTTTTCGTTAAAGGAAAAATTGTTTCAAATCACCCCAGGAATCGCCCCCTTTCAACGATTTACATCAATTTCAGGACAACCAGTATATTACAGTACAAAGTATAGAAATTAAGAACCCTTATTTTTCGATCACCCTGTATACCAGTAATCGTCGATAGTGTCGTTCAATTGGACATTGTTCCGGGTTAGATTCAGTGGCAACGTTACACACATGGATTCCAGGTTCGATGATTGTGTTTCGGGGGGGGGGGGGGGATCGAGAGAGAGGCTTTTCATCTCACGACTCGTATTCCATGCTACACGGTCGTGTGTACCTACGTCTAACACGAAAGTAGGGGGGGGGGGATAGAACAGGATTGGTCTATAGAAGCGATTTCGTATGGCTAGGTGGCGGACGGTGCTGTGAGGAACGAGCTCTTGAAGCCAGGTTTCGTACGTGTGATGCACAGAGACCAGGTGACCTATCGATTTAGGCGGTGACATTAAGTAGACACGTATTTCCGCAGGTTACGTGTGCCTGAATACTGAGATTTCGAAACGGTGTGAAGTTGTTTCGATGCAACTGACCGTTTTTGTTCATCGGAACCAATGATTCCTATAATTAAGGGGGTCGTTCTACTTTGGCGAAAATGTTATGGTACCTTTTGGGACTTTTTTCCCTCGATACATATAACGTGTAATCGGCTGCATCTTGTTGTGGTGTTTATGGAACTACTTATAAATAATGTGAAAAAATTGCAAAAATATTTTTATCGTGTATCGTTTGAAGATTTTTCAGACAATTTGTTGTGAATGTGACTTCTCGAGAAAAGGGTACCCATGGCGCAGGTGAGCTGAACGGGGCCAAATTCAAGTATTCCCTCCAGAAATAAATTTAAAATAAATAAAATATAGGGTGGCTTAATGTCGATATTTTCGACTTCAAGATAACAGGATATAATATATATACAGGGTGTCCCAAAAAGCAAATGCAAATAAAAATCGAAAAGTCTTTTACGATTTTGTTTTATGAAGCTTCGTTTCCGAGACAATAGCAGTTAAACGAACTCACATGTACAGTTAACTGTTAATTCCTCGGAAATGGGGCTTCAGAATACAAAACGGTAAAGGACTTTTCGATTTGTATTTATACAAGGAATATGCATGTTGCGGATTGTCCCACCTTTTTGGGACACCCGGTATATCAGTCTTATAATTTTGAAATACAAATTAAGAGCGTTAGAAGTTCAAGGGGGTGGCACTACGCCCTGAAGCGTGTGAAAAATAGATAGTACTCGCCAAATGATGAAAGAAGTCCTAATAAACATGCACTGAAAAATTAATATTTACGAAATTATAAACAATTTTTCGTTTCGAATAAAGCTAGTGACTTTCTAAAAAAAATTGTTATTACTTGTTTACTAGGCTAATTGTCATCATTTGGCGAGTATTATATACCCCAGAAGTTGCGAATCCTTTTTTATATCACCCTGTACAATTCTCACTTATGTATGACAGCAATACTTATGAATGACAGTGTATTCGGATAAATTCAATGGATTCCAGAAATGAATAAAAGGTAAGAGAGACCCAATCCGTATTTTCCTCGAATAAACATCAGGATATCGATGTTAACGATGAAATAATATTCAAATACCAGAAACTGTTTCGACCCAGTTTGTTCAACTCTGGCCTCTCGAGCTCTGCTTTCTAATTATTCTTCACAAAGATTCTAGTTGAAAATCGTAGAAAAAAAACTGCCCTTTGTCACACGTGGGTAACGGTCTGTCACTGGTGTTTTTCTTTCTCTCCTTTCAAATTGCCGTTGGCCCGAAAGACACACGTGTTTCCCCGATAATTAAGAGCAACGGTGTTGTCCAAGCGTGTGAGAAAATTTCGTCGAAATGACGGGATCGAGCTTCAGGCGGCCCCGAATGCCTGTCGTAATTAACGACGGTGTGCATACAGGGTGAGCCTTGTGAAACACGACGACTTCAAGAGGTAACTTGTAAATTATTCGTTGTGACGAAAAAAATGTTTCGAACAATAGTCCCACGGTTCCATTCGAACGCAGTGTAAAATAAGTTATATTTAGAATAATTCAATAATTACTAATTTTAAACCCCATTTGGTATAACACTTTGTTTAGGCAGAATTTGATGCTTTGTTCAAATTCGAGAAGAAACATTAGGCATTACATTAAGTGACGACGTTAAGTCGGCTTAAAAAAAGTGACGATAACCTTAATAACTTGATAAAAAAACGAAGTAATAACAAATTGATTACGCTAATGTATGTGCCCCTGGAAACCATGCAACTTTTGTTGGAAACACTTTTTCGTACGGCAAATGATGTTATTTGAAGTCGTGGTGTTACAAGACTCATCCTGTATATACAGTGATCCCTCGATGAGTGCGATACGAACAACGGCGTTATTCCCACCACTGAAGGGAGTCCCCTTTTAGAACCAATTATAACAGAATAAACAAAAGGTAAGCAGAAGCTCGGGTTTGTACAAAAAAACAAATTTTTGGGAGCTGAAAACCTGAAAAAGACTGTCGCACTTATCGAAACACTACTGTATAGTGAAATCGATCGGTATCGATCGGTATACACGAGATAATTTCGACGTGGTAAGAACTGATTTCGGAGAATTTTTGGACACGGGTGTCGGAATAGTGTTCTTTTTTTTAATTCGAGTTTTGTCGATGTATACTTCTATAATCGTCATCCCCATTTTTCCCTCAGCAAGGTAGCATCCTCCCCTCCTCCCTGTCCACACCCTGGACCTCGTACATCGAGTACCGGTGTATCTCCCGAAAATGAAGAAAAAAAAATAAGGAAAACAGTCTATCGTAACCGGAAGCCGCGTAGAGTATTATACTGCGGACAATTACGGTCAATTAATTCGTGAGGGATACGAGACGCTATTAGAAACTAAGATCCAATCGTCGATTATTTATAGAAAAAGGAAATGACGAGAGAGAAAAATGATCCGTCAATTCTATTGTTTATTTCATTTAATAATCATCGTTGAAACTCGTTTCTCCCAGCGTTTCCAACTATCCAATGAACCTCCGACCGGAAACGGCGTCTCGTCACGAATGGGAGGACTCGTTTCGGACCAATTAACGGCCAACCGAACGATTCCTTGCAATTTGCAGCGGAAATTCCCCTAGTCTGACCAGACACGTGCCAGTGATGATGGGTCCGTGAACAAATGGTTCAAACGTGTTTGGATTGTTTCAAGCACAAGATATTCAAACGGTCCAAACACGTCTGGATTTTTTTTTCAAGCACAAGATGTTCCAACGTCCCAAACATGTTTGGACATTTTCAAGCAGAGCATGTTCAAACGGTCCAAAGATAGTTCTGTCGTTTCAAACAGTTCAAACATTTCAAGGCACTCGGTCAGCCGAGTCGCTCGTGGGCCTAGAAACGTTCCAACTGTTTTTACCGCCGAACTGTTCGGAACGCCCTAATTGCCCAAAACGGTTGATCTGTATCAAACACTGGAACTGTTTGAACCACTCCAACTGTTTGAAATACGAAATGTTCTAATTGTTTGAATCTTTTAACTATTTAAAACCTCCAAACTATACGATACATTTGAACTGTACGAATCGTTTGATACGACCAAACTACGTGTGAACATCCCGTTGGGTGTCCAAACACGTTCGAACACTTCCACCAGCCACTGCCCAGACGTCAGGTGCGCGTATTCGCGTGAAAGTGCAGACCCGTAGGCGCGTGCGTCCGTTCTCGTCCCGGGCGGATCACGGGCGTCACCGTTGTTGCCAGGCCGCAGTAACGCAACGTGCCAACCGGACGTCGATCATTGTTTATCAGTAACGTTCCATCGAACGTCGAACGCAGGTCTCGAGGACATCACGAGTCTCGGCCAGCGGACAACGCGTAGTGTTGGGAGTGTAGAGCACACATACGTTTATTCTCTTCGCTTAAATACGTCACCTAGCGAAGAGAACTTAAACCACTTACTGTCCTATGACCGGGTCACCAATGACCAACCTTGACGGTTGCCCCAACGTAAAATTTCTTGTTTTTCTCTCTCTCTCTTCTAGTAAACAAGTCGTCCAATAAGAAACCAACGTTCCTTACGAAGTCGCGTCGATTTTGATTGGCGGTTCAGTGGTGCCAACAATATGGTCGACCTCTGTTGTTCAAGAGAGAGAGGGGAAACGGAAAGTATTAAAAAAGGGAGGACGGAAGAAAACGAAATCGAAGATCACGGTTGATCAAGTACGAATCAGCATCCGTGAAGATTCCTTTTGGGAGGTTTCGTCCTCGAGGCTGAGAACGTGTTCTAGAGCAGGGGTTCTCAAACTTTTGAAATTTTGTACCACGTAAATGAGAATAAAAAAATAAATGTACCACCGTAAAAGTATTTCCCGATTAAAAATCAATAGATCTCAAATGGAGTGTTTGTAATCAAAGAATAAAATATTATTTCAGTAAAGAATAACAAACTCAAGGATGTGTTTCAACAAAAGGGCTCACAATATTTTCTGTAAAAATTGTACCACCAAAAATAACATAATGTACCATTAGTGGTACATGCACCACAGTTTAAGAAACGCTGTTCTAGAGTGAATCGTTACGAGGGTTAAGCTGCGTTTAACATGTTACATAGCAAAGTTATAAAACTTGTTAGAAAAACAGAAAGAAAATTGTTATATTACGTGATGTTATATAACATTTTTCGTTTTATAAAGCAAGTTATATGTTATCCATTTAATGTGACGCCATTATTAATAATGAGTTACAGACTTGTCTGAAAGGTATAGTCTTGTAACAAGTTCTAAAAACACGTTGTATAGCAAGGTTATAAAACAATTTGTTGTATAACTCTTTCGCTATATAGTGAAGACGCAGCTTAACGTGCGAAACAAATAGGCTTTTTGTTGCGGGGCCATTACCGTTTCGTCGATTTCGACGCTGTATAGAAAAAAAGAAATAATGTTCCTCTGAAAATAAGTCGATTAGTAGGGGATTGTCGCGACGGAGGACGTTGCAGGGAAGAATCGCAATCCTGAGATTCTCAAGTGGGGTGGGGGGTTGAGGGAAGGGTTTTTCAGAAATTGTTTGAATTCGTTTTTGAAAACGTTGTTTGAACAAACTCGCGTGTTGTAGTGTTTCCCGTCGCGATTTCCAAAATAACTGAGGACTATTTCGCTATCTTTCTCTCGAATTTGTCATTAGAATATGTTAGTACAGTGATGCCTCAATGAATGCGTCACGAGCAACTGCGTTATTCCCACCACTGGGGAGTTCCCCTTGTGGAATCAATCAAAATGGAGTAAGCAGAAGCTAAACAGAGGCTCGGCTTCGAGAAAGAAAATATTTATTTTTTGTACGTCGCACTCATAGAGACATTACTGTAGATTCCAGGGGAAAAGACTTTGTCTTTTCTACTGCGATCTCTGACGTACAGCGACCCACACGTTTGTTCGTATACTTTTGAAATAACAATTATGTGTAACTATTTCTGTGCAATGTCTATTTATGCATCCTCGTTGGTTTTACTTGAACTGTACTTTTGTGAGAACTTTTTCTTAATTTTAAAATATGATTCACAGGTTAGAACGTACCTTTGATCAACAATAGTTAACAGCCTTGCGTGAACAAATTTCTGAGTCACTGTATATATCGTGTGGACGGTAGATCTTCGATCGTCAGACGCGACTATTGTTGACAAACACCGACTATTGTTTTTCTTCGAAGGGGGAGTATCAAAGCCTTGGTTAGAGAGAACGGTGTGTTTTTGAATTCATTGAACTCGATTGCTTTTGTCGTTTCGCGGTGTTGGTATTATCAATCTGGTCGGTTCTGGTTAGGGGAGACTGGGGGAAGGAGTCGTGGATGTAAAAAAAAAAAGAAAAAAAAATGAAAACACAAGATAGTATATCGATGTATATTCACCTGTTGCGTTTTCTCCGTTTGGCCGGATACGAGCGTCGTAACGTCCTAGAATGTCGTCCAACACCTGCTTCTCCGTCGCCCGAAAGCCGGTCACCTTTAACCTCGTACATCTGTAACCAAATCGAAGACAATTGTACAGTAATTATCGGAGGAAATAAAAGGATATACGTGTGATTGTTTGTACAGTAAATCCACGATGAGTGTTCGAAGGTTCCTTGGTACTGACAAGGAGAGGTCCCCAAATGTAACGTTGAATTTTTAATGAGGTTAACACAGTGATAGAGCTTGGAATTTTCGAGGAAAATTCGAGGAGCGTTCGAACACTTATCGAGGATTTACCGTATTGGGCTTTCAGATAAGTTTTAAACCTTCCTAACGTCACGTTTATTATCAGGTGAAAGAACTCTACACTGTGTAATGGGTCTAGTCAATAGATGGGAGAGGATTATTGCACAGAATGGTGCACATTTGGTTTAATTCTGTTATTACAAGATGCTGGAATAAGGTTTATAATTCGTGTCTAGTAAAGATTTCAGGCTTATTCTACAAATAGTAAGCGTGAATTTCAGGTGACTGAAAACCTACGTATTTATAGAAGATTTATAGGAACGTACCTTGATGGATGTAGCAGAATTGCTGTTAACACCAGTAACTTCAATACTCCAAGCCCCATTGCAGCAGCCTGTAATACCGCCTGGGAAAAAAGAAAAGAAGAAATAGTTTAGTTTAAACCACCGATCACCTTCTTTTCTTGGGAATTCTTTATCAACGTATCGGAACGGCCATTTAACACTTTGTACAGTAAAACCTCGATTACTGTAAACAGAAAAAGCGAAATAATTACCGTTTGTTATGTAATATTCACGTGTGTATACAGAGCTTAACAAAAATCAATTTGAAACTTGTTTTTACCGTGCATAAAAATTCGGATAATGGAAGGCTGGATTAAGTCGACGTTCGGATAATCGAGGTTTGCCTGTAATTAACTTTCCGTGGGTACATTCTATCGATTTGGTGGATATTCAAAATAACAGAAAAAGCTCACAGTTTCTGTAAAGAAATTGCTACCGTTTACTCTTTTCATTTCTCAAAACGAAATTCGAAAAAATTATAATTTTTAAATTAGCTACCGTTACCACAATACTTTCTAATTGTTTTCTAAATAATTCATCTAAATAATTGGCGATGCCAGGAAACTCACCTAAGACGAGGCAAGCTATGAAGCCTTCGAAGCAACAGGATGCATCGCGACTGAACACAAATTCGTAAATAGCCAATTTGGATCGATCGCTATCTGCGCGATCAATTCTTTCAACCGAGTCGAGGAGGGGATTTTTGGCGAGCATTCGAAGATTGACACGTTGATTGCCAACTATGAGATAACTCGCAGTCGAAAAATATGGCAAAAAGGCTGGATTATTTAAATACCGTTAGAAAAGTGTTGCGTAAAATTATTATCGCCAGATAATTTAAAACAGACAAACAACCTCTATTAACTAAACGTGACTGACAATCTTTATGAATACTGTATCTATTGTTTGCGTTTATGGATAATCACTGACGGTCGAATTCACGTGTTGTTTAAAGTTTTTCTCAGAGTAAACAGTGTGTTTCCTCCATATTATTTAAACAAATGCGCACGCAATTGATAAAAGAAAATATATTACAAAATACCCGTTTAATTGGTTTGTTTCTTGATTTATGTTGGCAAGTGTGCATTCGAAATAATGTGTCTGACTACGCACGGCCTTTTTCACTGTGGCAGTCAAAGTGTTAGTACCAGGTGCTTCTGATATTATTCCCCGAGACTCGAGTGATCAACAAACCTCGCGTAAATATAAATGAAATATCTTAATGTAAGATCACTTTCCATGTTTCAGTGGTACTTTATTCCAATAATTGGAACGAAATTTTGTTCATCATTTCAGTAATATTCAACAATAGTGCTTGTACACGACCATTAATGATCCAACTACAATACAAAAATTCTATCCCATATTCTTCAATCGTTTTTTTATCTAGAATCTCGCCTGCACATTTGTGCCGATCATTACCGAACACCTAGGCACAGAACAAAAAAGAATATTTCCATTTCGCCCTAATCGAAACAAAATTGTTCTCGCCGCTTAACCACACGGAACAGAAATAGAGATACGTATCTGGAAAATTTCAACACGCGATTCTCGAATTTATCGAAATTACTAGACCCAGGTAAGCAAGCACACTGAAACCGAAGGTGTACCAAACAACGGAGAAATCGTGAAGTTTTTGTAATTCTTCGGACAATGTACAGGGTGTAAAGGTTCTAACAGTTGCATTTAATAAACAGGTGTCCACGACGTCGACAGACGTGTTATCATTTTTCTCGTATCGGGATCTATAAATGTGTCCTGTGATTACGCGAACAACTTTCGTTCTGTCACGTTAGTGGCTCGAAATCACGAAACGGTGGCGAAACATTCGAAAAAATTAATTTAAAAATTGGTTTCGGTTTGATGTATCATAAGTCGATAGCTGAATATACATACACCACAAAATACAAGTGCTAATAATTATACAGGGTGTCCCAAAATAATTGTAAGTCGCGCTGGATTTGCAATCGACTTGTTCTCTGTGACGAGTTTCACGCGCGTTTGAAGTGTTGCCAAGACACAGGTATTACAAGAATCTCGATTGTTCTTCCATAAATAACCGGAAAGAATGACGCGAGTGGAATGTTTGGGAGCTTGAACGAAAATCATTGTACCTTAGACTAGTACGCCTACTGAAGGTTTCTCCTCGTTAAAAAAAAAGTGAAAAAAAAAAGGATGCATTCAATTAAAGAAATTACACACAGTTCCTTTACAAAAGTATACTGACTAAAATTACAAAAAAATAAAAAATTAATTAAAATGAAACCATTATTTAACATTTTATCAAAGTTAAATTTCTGTACAAGGCATTTGTTTTGTTGTAACATCCTGTGCCCCAAAGAGTTTAACAAAGTATGTATAATTTTTCCAATTGGAATGTATCCCACCCGAGAATATATTTAACAAATGTTTATTTTAATATCAAATTATAATTTTGTACCATACATACATTTACGAACTGTTTGTTATAAGTAGACTGCGGATTTGTATGCAAAATGACATTTTTAAAAATAATCTTTGAAGACATCAGCAATGATAGGAATTTCTTTCTTTTCTTAAATATCTTATCGGGTTCAAAATACAGTGGAAAACATTTTACATCTGACGAAAGTTCTTTCTCTATGGTATTACACAAATCCCAATAAAAAAAAAGGTAAATAATTTATAAAAATATATAAAAATTAAATAAAGGCATAAAATCCGTAGTCTAGTTATAAGGAACTTTCCAAGAATTACAGGCATCGATGGTCACCAACGGACGCAACGCGGAATATTCTTCTGTCTCGTTGAACGGCGAACAATTTTCACGATTAATAAGTCCTCCGAGCGATGCCATCCTCTAATTAACAATTCCGCGTAAACACATTATCCTCATTATCGAATGTTAAACGTTTCGCAGGAGAGGCGAACCGATGACCCGAACTCTATTCGAGGGCTCGAACAAACTTTTCCAAGCTCGTTGTTGCGTCAAACGGGGAGAGACTTTGTTCAGAATTTGCATAATACCTCGTAAACATTCGATTCGACGGAGATTTTTCCATGGGAAACTTCGCGGTCGAATGGACTCGAGCGAATAGTATACAGGGTGAGTCACCCAACATTTACAGCTCAAATATCTTTATTGTTTTTAACACTAGAACTACCGACGGTAAGCGCATATTTGCTTCGATCGATGGATAAACGTGAAAAACTTTTGAAAATTTAGAAATTTAGAAGTTGACTGCAGACCTTTCAGTTTTAATAAACGATTTGTGTTTAAAAAACAGTTTCATTCTATCTGAAAGTTAATGAAAATACAAATCAATCAGTTATATACTGTCCACCCTGTATCTATATAGATTTTGTTTCACGGAAGAGGAAACAGAAGCCGTTCGATAATTCCAGGTCTCGAGTTCGCCAGCTAATGCGTTGACTTGTTCCACTTGCCGCCTGACAATTATCGGATTGTTCGGAAAGTTCGTAGCGGCTTTAACCCTACGTTAGTACCTCAGGCTATACACCGCTAGCACATTAGCGTATTCCAACACCCCATATACACAATTTCTTTTTAAAAGAATTGAATGTTTTTGTATATTTACATATTGCTCCAAAATATTTTTGAGTCAAATTTTCTGGAACTTTTTCAAGGTGCTACTAAAAATCTCTTGAAAGTAGAGTTGCCAATTTAGGAATTGATTTAAAATAAGTTTTGATAGAGTGTTGAAATACCTCATATACAAAATTTTTTCTTAAAAATTGCAAGTAAATTATGGAGAAATAACGCTTTAACTGCCACGTCACCGAAATATGGGTGACACTATGAATTTTGCAAAGTGGCTGGATTCTTTTAAATACCGTTACGAAATTTTTGCGTAAAATTAATATCGCACTATAATTAAAAACTGGAGCAACAGCCCCTATTAACTAAATGCATATATTTTCGACGATTTATGGCTTAGAAAACGAAATAACGCCTGCCTGACTATATATGGCCTTTTTCACTGCGGCAGTCAACGTGTATAAAATCTTCTTTTAGATGGATAAAGATCCGTCTATTTATCATTTATCAAAATAATCTTCAACCTTTTTTCTAATTACACCGTAATGGGATTAACATTAACCTTCCCTTAAATTTATCACTGGACTGCGTTTTTTTATGCAAAATATTTTATGAAAGCAGAAGTAAATCCAGAAGTTCTTTCTTCTCCCAGAAATTTTCATGAAATAAAAATAAAATTAACAAATGCATAAAATCCGTAGTTTATTTGTCACTACACTACTACTAGCTAAATTATGTCTAACTAGAATGTTTATGCATTTATAACAAATTTTAACTTGCAAAATACAATAAAATAAAGATTTTAATAAAACTTAACGAGATTCATACATTACTGTCAACACGAGACAACATTTAGTACACGAGCCTTTCTATGCGATTTTCATGTTTATAAATTAACGTCTGAAATTCTGAATTTGCATAAACGTTCACAGTCTACTTATCACGCTCCAAGGGACTTCGATCTGATTCTACACACTGTTACCAAAAAAAAAGTTTTAAAATGCAAAACAGAGAATATAAGTTATAAAATAAAATTTTATTTTGCTTCTGGGGACATGGCGAAATATTCGATTAAGCGGCATGTCGTGTTTCGTGTTTCTCTCCGTTCGTCGACGAAAACGGTTTTACTTAATTACGGCGAATCGTGCGAGACGGTATATAACAGTGTCGACAGGACGTGAAAGGCGAATGATTGCTGCGTCCGGATGGACCCTCCCGTCGAATTAGGTCAGTGTTCGTAGTGTGTGTGTGTACGTGGCCCGTGTTTGTATTCCTATTCCTCGAGAGTGCTTGAGCAAACAGTGAACAAATTTCTTTTTCAAACAAATCCTCGATATATAAACGTGTTTTTAAGTAATTGCTTTCGGCCCCCTTTGGACCCTTCCTTCCTAACCCGCACAACCAACCTAACCTATCTTATAGACGTGGCGGTGTGTCATCTCTCTTTTTTTCCCGTTCGGTAGTTCGAAATAAATTACACTTTTTTACATGGAAATTTAGAACGAATGCATTTCTTAAGTTTGTATTTTACAGGATGGAATGTACAAGGTATGAACAAAATGTCATATCGATTGGATGAAAATACTACTTTATACAGTGTTAAAATTATAATAGTTGGCAACACGGGTGTATCTTGATGAACAGTTCGAAATTTACAATTACTGACATGTTCATTATTTCCACTCTGTTACTCATAATTATAGTCAATTGATTTCCCATGGCATGTACATGTAATTTAATCGATATGGAAAACGAAATATTGCACCAACATGGGCAACACAAAAATAAAGGGTAGCTCGGTACAGGTTTGGTAGATGAAACATACGCACGCGTATTTTCCCAATTCTGAGGAATCTTAAAACTGTATTTTAGTTACTTTAGTTACAAGTCACATTTCAATGCTATATTATAATTAGGTTATGGTTGGATCCAAGTTCTGAATAAACAAATTTATATTTCAATTTTAAATTGTACTTCAGTCATAATTAAATTCAAGGTTAAAACAGACAAATTTTTATTTCAATTTTAAATTTTATTTAAGTTATAGTAGAAGTCAAGTTCAGAATAAATAAATTTCTATTTCATTTTTAAATTCCATTCAGGTTACAATTGACTTCGAGGTTAGAATAAACAAATTAATAAATCAAGAAGAAGAGCTTTATCTCCGAGGACACAATAACGTATTTAAGCTTTTCCACTAATTTCCCTGAATCCGTCGCAACATCTAATAAATTTTCGTATTCCAAAAGTTTACGTGGCTTTTTCGAGGTGCTGATAGGAACGCTAGTTTCGAAGCGACAAGAATCAGACGACGCGCCAGTGCGATTCGTGTCACACGTTTGAAACGTTAGCACGTCACTCCTGGGGCGAGTGGTTAACGACTGTGTGTATATACAGTGAACTTTAATCAAGCGAAAACACCCCGACGAATTTGTGTATACGGTATACATGTCGTCGTCGCGTCCGCCCCGACTGTTTCTGATTACGGTAACGGGTTGCAAAATACGGAATCACCGTGATTCGTCGCGTTCTATAAGCAAATCGAATCGTCGTCGAGCCTCGAGAGACCAGAAACGACGAGAGTTAGGGACACCACGCTGTTAAAAGTTTCATCGATTGGTACGTGGAAATATTTTTAAGCAGCTATCAGAACCTAGGAAAGACGACTACTATAAAAAATTTAATATAATTTTTTAAAAAGAGCCCACCACAGTCAGGAGCAAATTGGTGGTCATTTGAAGGACATAATCTACAAAACTAATTAAAAATAATTTCCTCGAAGTATATTCATTGTTCATAAAAGCATAAATATGCGTTTTTAATATATCAAAGTGTTACTCTATTTTAAATGATCTTGTGACTTTTGGGCCACCCTGTACAAGGGGGAAAAAAAGTATTCGTACGTGAAGAATCTCGAAATATTGTTCATTTTCTGCGTTTAAGGGAAATCTGAACGTATAGAAGAAAATTTGCAAATAGTGCAAAACTTTTGTTGTGTCGCGTTGACTTGCTAAGGGCCACTTTGAGCAATTTCGATTAAGCTTTTTTTCCAGTGTAGCCAACAATAAAACTTTTAACTGTTCTTAACCTATTTTGTCATCGTATACCATTTCATACCATAACCCTCGTATTCATCAGATAATAAAAAATGAATAACTTTATGTTGAAACTATGTTTTCGATGTTTTAAAATGTATTCCTTGATATTAAAATATGGAGTATATCAAAGGTTAAGAACGACATACAGTAATGTCTTGATGAGTGCTTGGGTCCGCTTCGGAGCATTCGTGGCAAGGCGGGAAGGTTTTCAGCCCCTTATAAAGTTGTTTTTTAAACGAAGCCGAGCCTCTGCTTAACTTCTGTTTACTCTGTTTTGAGTGGTCCCAGAGTTTGTGTCGCATTCATCGAGGAATCACTGTAGTTAAAAGTTTTACTATTGGCTATATTGCTGATTAAGTGAATCGAAGTTGACCAAAGAGGCTCTAAAATTTCAAACAATAAACTTGCGTATAATTCCCACTTTTTACGTCACACGGTATACGAAAGTACGAATTTACATGAAATTTCTAGGAAGACAGTTTAGGGGTACTAATGCATGAGCACGAAATCGTGAAAAACACGAAATTACTTTTACCATTTCATATTTTTCTGGAATATTAGTCAAACAAATCTGTACAATACAATACATGCGTCCGTCTCAAATTATTAACACTAGAACTACCAAACTTATTTTACCATTACTGAAGTTACAATGGCGCTTTTAGCGGAATTTATGTTGATTGTTAATTTACTATGAATTTTATATTACACTAGATCGTATTATATTATTATATATATTACGATATTGTACACTTTAATTTAGTGTACATTCTATAACCTCTAGTGTTAACGACCGCGTTCATCCCGATCTGGACCACTCAGGATACAGTGACCCCAACTTTGTTCACGAAAGACAGTCACATTTATTTCACCAGATTACGTACCAAACGACGAATCTTATTTGGAAATTACGAAAACTATGATAGAAGTAAAACCCATCAGTGCACATAAATAGAAATTGTATAAAAATTTGTCCACTCAATTCTAATTTGAAAAGGATATATAAACAAATACGTGACTCACTGTCTCCGCTTCCGACTACCATGGACCTCCCTTCACTGGTGCGATTTAACATTAGAATACACCCGGAACTTAACCTGGTTAGGTTAACCGATCAACACTATACGGTGAATCCGAGTCGTACGTGCATGCAACGAATCACTCCTGATTACGTGTGACAAATAAATACCTCTTCAACACAAACAGTTCAGTCGCACGACGTCGTGAACGTCAACGAATCATCCGAACGAGGAAAAACGAGTCAAAGTCGGTTCGCAACACAACTCTGTAACCGAACTTTGACGCGGAAGTCGAGGAATCCATATCTCTCGTTACACACGATCCCCACCACGAGCTTCATCTCAATATCGCTGCACTATCTTCCCCTGTTTAATCCTCGGACCGTACCGTTCAGAGACCTACGCGTCTATGTCACTAGACGTCCTCGAGAAACGATACCTCGATTCCTCCCGATTTTTTTCTTTCACTATCGATTCCCAGTGCCCCTTACAATCGTGACCGTTTCGACCCCGTACAGACGGACTGTCCCCCCTTTTACCTAGGACGACTAGATCGCAGGGGACACGAATCGACACCATCCGTACACGACCCCAGCCACAATCGATCCATGATATCGATTCGTGGTCGAAATGCACGGTCCCTTTAACCGCGGTGTACCTGGGTGGTGGCCATATTCCGGTAATGGCCTTTCAAGGAATCTACTCGACGACCGCTAAGGAACATCTACGGGGCCCGTTGCACGTAAACAGAAGCGACATCGTGTTGTTAATCGTTACCTGGAGAACCTGATAATCCTAGGCGTCGAGGAGGCTTCCGTGATGCAGCGAGACTGGCATGGCGCTGCTCCGTGTACGACACTGGGGGAGAGGCCTGTACTCTCTCGACTCGTCAAGTGTCCTGCCTCGGAAGGTTCGTCTCCTGGACTGCCACCGTTCAGAAACCTACATACACTCACACCTACTACCTGGTTGCTGGCACCGCTATTGATCCTTGCCCAGACACCCGCCGACCCACGCAGACGCTCAGCGTTGCCGCGTCGCTTTAGCAACATGACGTCATTCCCCGCGCGCTGACCCCCCACACCTCCGTCCCTTTTCGCAGCCTCCCGGACACTTCACCTCGCGAGCCATCCGCCGCCACGCTCGTCTCTCGTCCTTTTCTTCGCGTCGTTTCGTTCGGTTGCTACCAGTCGCGAGCGCCACGACCCGTCGACACTCCTACCACACGGGGAGAGTGCTGTTCCACCTACCCGGATTTACTTTTTGCTTACAAATATCCCGATTTTCACCGTGACCCTATCAAACTCTGTACCTTCTCACGTACATATTTCGTTATACATTCATTTTTGACAAAAATGGGGATTGCGAGAAGGATTTTTGGCGACTCGAAAAAATTTGTTTACCATTTGAGTATCAGTCCCTACTTTACAAACATAATTTAGTACAGTGAGAATCATTTAAAATAAATAATCACCGTGCTTAAGTAACCGGAAAATAGTTGACGCCGAATGTTAACGTATCTTAACGATTTATATCTCAAAAAATTGCTCCCAATTTGCTCCTTCCGAATCTGAAATTGTGAGATGTACCCTCACGAGCAAAGTTATTGAGATATCTGACCATTGAATATTATAAAACAGATCAGGAGCAATTTTTTGGTGCCATAATATTTGTGTCAAAAGGCCATTTACTACCTATTTTGTTAACAACCAATTTTTGCTTTTTCTTTTGCGAATATCTCATTAACGGTGCTGGGGGAGCAATTTCAAATTCGGAAGAAGCAAATTGGGAGCCATTTTTTGAGATATAAATCGTTAAGATACGTTAACATCCGGCGCCAACTATTTTCCGGTGGAGAAATGGGGACCCGTACGTAGGAGCGCGAGATACAACCCCTTTAACAGGGGGTAGCTGGTGACGGGGCCGATCGTAGGGGCTTCACTCACGGTACGCGTCGATTCGAGTCACACTTTACCTCTGAGAGAATTGGTGCTCTCCTTCCGAAAGCATCGACTCTCTGAAACATATTCTCCTTCAGAGAATATGCACTCCTTTTGTTTCTAATAATTGCTTGGTATACAGCTAAATGGGGTAGTTGTAAGTTAAGTCGATCGTAAGACTAGTATAAGTTCTAGAAAGAAGACGTCGATCATCCGCCGAGGGATCTTCATTTTATTTTCAGGTAGACTCAAGGAAGAAGCCATCCGCCGAGGGAAATCAACATTAAAACGTCTAAATTTAAGTTTCTTTTAAGTTATTTGTAAGACTTTGTAAAAAGGGAGGTAGATGTAACTAATGATTCCATCGATGTAACTACGGTTACATAAATGGGACTAGGTTCCAGCTTTTTAGCTTCCTTTAGGTCTCCACTCGTAGCAACCTCCTCGTGGTGAGACCCGGACAATTGGTATTATCTTCGGTAAAGTATTGTAAACTGAAGGTAATACCGAGCTAATGGTTGCGAACTTCAAATTAATTTCTCTAGTTATAAGAATGAATGTAAAATCGAATATTTTTGGTAAATTTTTTTATTTTTTTGGGGAAATATTTTATAAATGATTGTTTCTTTAAAAATTTTAATTCTGAAAATTTTGCTACTACTGTTCTTTGGATCTTATGTTTTCGAAATTCTTACTCTGAAGTATATCTTAATGAATATATCAGACAACATTACATTGTTACTTTTTATTGCTACATAGGAATGGTATTGTTAAACAATAATACATTACATGAATCTGTACTGTCAATTGTTACACATAGAACATACTACAAAGTAAATGCAAATTCGATTTTAATACAGGAGAAAGTGACATTTCTTAGAAATTATTGGTATAAAATTATTTATCCGAGTGCCAAATCGTAAATGTGCCTGATTGAATTTAGAGAAATTATTTAAGAAAGTGATATCCGTTACAGAGTAACTTGTCATGCGCGTTTGCCACTTTTCGGCAACCAAGACTGACCGCAGGTGATCTGGTATATACCAAAAACGAACATTCACTCGTGTATAAGATTCTATAATTAGTTTATGGTTGATATATAATACAAGATACAGTTGTATACAATACACGAATTCTCAGTCTATTTGTCGGTTTCAAAACAATATAATTAATAAACTGACTGTAAAATCAGTCAATAAAACATATGCGCTCCTCAATTTCATGTTCGTGGTAACATTTACACGAGCTGAACAAATAGTACAAAAGTGAACTATGCGTAATTTTCCATTCCTACATTATTAAACGTATCCCTAACGTTACGCTTAACCAGATTTGTACCCTTCGTCATAGGATTTATGGGTGTGAACAGATGTTCTTCCAAAGACTCCTGAAAAAAGAAATAGCAAAAGATTGTAACCAGTCCAACAATTTAAGTTTATACTTTGAAATTTTCTTCAAAATAACCTACAATTACTGTAATACGATTGTGTCTTTTGAGTTCTCGTATTAAATTCAACAGATCTTCAACTCCAGATGCTTCCGGGTCTGACGCAAGTTTCTCTTCAACTGCAGTGATCTAATACAAAAAGGGTTAAAACTACCTTAGTTAACGTCATCTTATAAATAATTAATTGCTAGTACAGTTCCCAGATGAGAAAGTTAAATTTTACATACCACATCAGAAAAGTAAGTTTGTTTGCGTGTAGGTGCAGTATCCATTTCTAATATTGATCTAAACATGGGAATGATTTGTAAATATTTTTCCAACTTCAAGTATGCCAAGACTTTGAGACATCTGATGTCAATGTATTGTTGACGTTCTACGGTAGCCAATATTTCCAATGCTAGCTCAGAACGATTTTGTTTTATTGCTAAATATGCCATGAATGCAGCACATTTGTAAGAATTTGTCCTCTGCTCGTTCAATATTTTCCATACATGTAAAGCATATTCTAATGCCTCTGAAGTATTCTAATAAAGCAATATAATGTGAATTAACAATATTAATAATATACTAATAATACATAAAAAATGAAAATTTTACCTGCTTACAACATGCAGCAACCATTACGATAAAACTGGGCCTGGCAAGATTACTAAATCGCTCAGAATGTATCATCAAATCGTACATTTCTTTCATTTCAGAATACATGTTATTTTTGTATAACAGACACAGTAAAAGTTTGAGCGTTGACGTTTGTTTAAAGAAATCACTTGATGATGCACTGCTAAATGTATCTACTGCGACTGATGGTTCATTCAAATAATATAGCAATCTCATCACCACTGGGCCGAAAACATATGTACTGAATTTGTTCTCTGAACTGGAAGCAATATACTTCTGTATCATATTAACTACTAATTGTACATCTTCGTGCTTCTCACTTAAATGTAACATTGCTTTTAAGTCTTCTGTGAAGACCACACCATCTTCTTTTGCACAGACTTCTTGCATTTTTGAACGAAACTTATCCTCTATTGTCGTAAACTGATTATGGTAGAGAAGTCTTGCATGCTCATAAGCAGTTATGCCTAACGATCTTTCAGCAAAGATATACCGAACGCCGACTGAAGAAATGGAACATATATTACATTTAAAAAAAAACAAATACGAACAAGGCTCGTATTTGTTCGTATGTCGGTTATGTCTTCACAAAATAATATTTTATATAGACTGTCTCTTACGAAAAAAAATTTATTTCGTTAATATAAATGTAGGACGTTCAATGTTAGGTTATCACGATTACGTACCGTTCAATGTATTAATTTTTAAGAGTGCGTTATTTGCAAAAGCTAAATTGAGTTTGCAAAATCCCCTTACTGACAGCGCCATAGTTTTGTTGATGAATTAACGTTAAACTTAGTACAAGTTACCCTTCCAAAATTACAAGAACGCGGTCACATCCGACGAGATCATGTATGTTGCAAAAGAACAACTCTGAGCGGAAGGCGCGACAGTATTGGGGTTTAAGCACGTGACTTCCGATTCCGATCACAACAGAAGTAAAGAAAGAAATTAACCATTTATACAATACGTTCTCAAACAATTTTTTTAATTTTATAATGTAACGGAAAAATTACCTTGCAATTTTATACTTTTTCGATGTGAAAACTAACTCATTAGCAAAGTACTTATATAACTATAATAAAAACATACATATAACGCGCCATTCATATTGAAATTTATCAGTTTTGCAGAAAAATATGAAAATTTGAAACATGGAAGGAACAGTCTTGTTCTTAAAAAATTATTTTACTTGTCGATTCATTTAAATTCATACTGATTTTTTATGTTATTTTATTAAAGATAATAAAGATTATCTATTTTAGACACAAATGCTTTTTCTACATACATGTATTATGGCGTGTTGACATGAACGTAATAAAAAGAAGTTTTTGTATACGAATTCTATTTTCAGTGGTAATACATTACTATTCTACTAAAAAATATTTTAAAATTAACAATTGTAGAGTGTATAAATAAGGAGAATCGTTTTGAGTTTTTTCGTATACATAAACATCTTACAAAAAACATACATTGTCATTAAATTCTTGTTTATTTTTACATAGTACCTATTTTCATTTATACATATTTTATAGTAAGTATAACTTTACATTTTTATAGTTATGTACCTTTACATTGTTGCATTGTTATTAATTACTCTTTAATTACTTATACTAGATGAATATCTTTAATTATACAGTCCTTCTCTTAAATACAGTGCTCAATAAGTTAATAGACATAATATAAACCTAAACACCATTTACATTACTTTTATTTCATGATCCAGATGAAGCAAAGGATCATATCTCATATAATTTACTTGTATGTATAAATAAGTGATTGGTCTGTACAATATAATATTAATTATTTAACAGTACTTTCTTGTTCATGTAATTGTTTCTCTTTTGTTTTTTCTTTTCTTTTTATGTGGTACTTATTTGAAAGCACAACGTTACGTAGAGTAGAATGAAGAAATCGTTTATTAATAGATTCTTTTGGTTTTATCCATCCACTAGGACCCATTATTTCAGCTCTTTTAGCTCCAACTTTAGCTTCTTCCAATAAAGCTTCAACCGCAAGTCTATAATATAAATATTACTTGTTACCTGAATGTTTGAAACATATAAAATTAAATTATTATTGTTTTACTGCTAGATTTTCCAGAATTTTGTCTTTACAAGCAAAAACATATAAATAATAGAAGTTAATTATGACATATTAGATAAACTTACCTATTTAAGGTTTCGTCATCCATTATATAAAAATATGTATAAATTTTGTATTACTTCTATTTAAAGAGTAATCTAATTCTGTTTTCCTTTTAGATAAAACATTGAAACATTCATTTTGATCAACTGAAATTATTTGTAACAGTATATAAGAAACATGTATGAATACTTGTTGGAAGAAATATAATATTTCTAAATAATTCTTGTTGTATTTATAGGACAAAGGAATGAACATTATGTGCCTTACGTACATAAAAATAATAGTTATGTAAATTTTGTAAATACTCACTGACATAAATAACAAACATTAAGTCAAAATTTCGAGGTTAAATTGACATTTCACACAAGCAACTGCAAGCAACCAACTTATCGTTATGAACGACTGCACCTGCGTTATTTTATTGCATCCTATGATTTAAACTTAAACAATTCTTAGTTAAATGTCGTTATTTTAAAAATTCGTAAATTATGAATAAATATAATTAATAGTCATAATTAAACTATGTACACACACATGTGAAGTAACGCGTATGAAATCGTTACTTGCAATACGTATATATATATATGTATGTAAATAGAATTAAGGTTTTTAGTAATTTACAGATTGAAGTATTAAACAGTGGTAATGGAGGATCAAGAATTAGTTGAATTAAGAGATTTAAAAGCAGAATTGTTCGCGAAGGCAAATGATTTACTCAAGCAATTAAAAGATCAAGAAGGAAATGGCCAGAAATGCCTTTCTACTAGCAAATTGTATCAAATTATTTTCTCTTTGGTATTTCTGTATTTTTAAACTGTAAAACGATATGTAGGTATATGTTTTAATTTTATTATAGAATGTCAGATTCCACAAAAGACACAAAAACCACAGAAAGTAAATTGACAGATAATCAAAAACATGAATTATGTAAAGTTACTCGCCAAGTAACAGGTATACGGTTTGAAAATATAGACAGACAGTGGTTGAAGAATGATATTTATCAATATAATGCTAAACTAATAACAGCGGTTCTTGAGTTATTGTTGGAACTGAAAGTAAAGATAGAGGTATATCTGAGAAGATAAATATAATATTGTGCAAATAAAAAAGTAATTTATTATAACTATTTCCTTATTTTATTTCAGGGAGAAAAGGAATTTGAAATTCAGGGTATAATGTGTCATTTTATAGGACTTGACAATTGTTATATGCTGGAAATTCAATCATGGATACAAAAGATTTGTAGAAGGAAAAATTTTTCACTCCTAGCATCTGGTACTTTATCACTTTTGTAACAGGTAAATGTCGTTTTAGATTAGATAATTCATTTTATGTTCCTTCTATAGCAATTTCACAATACAGTGACCAACATAAAGCAAGGAGCACTATTTTGGAGCAATTGACAGAGAAGAAGTATGCAAATTCTAAACAATGTACAGACGACAATGGAGGCATAACAGTGTTTGTACATTCTCCTAGAAACGTGAAACAAGTTTATTTACAATTTCAGTGGTCATTATTATTTATAGAACAAACTTGGAGAAGTGAACATATTTTTGTCATACATCCTTCACCAGAAGGTATTAAATGTAATGACTATGTCATTTTACTTATGCGTTATAGTCTTTCTGTAATTTTAGGTGCCGACTTTACAAATAAATATCAGGATTTGGTACAGAAGTTTTGTGATAAGCCCATAGATAGAAAGAGAAAGGTTAGAGATTTGTGGGAAGAACTGTGCACTGCAATTGATTCATATGAAGACAGTGATGAAAGGAGATCAAGTGACAATAATAATAGTGATGGATAATATAAAAACAACAAAAAACATGTGAAAGTTTCTTAATGTATGAACTTTATTATATCAAAATTTCTATTCATTGTCACAACAGAGTACTAATAAAGATTTGTTTTATACCTATGAAACATCTTATACTTGTAACATTAACTTGAAATTGTATATAAATGTATTATGACCCGTTATAAAACTGGAATACAAACAATATTTTTGTTCAGAATTATGAAGTACCTTTTTTATCACAAAAGTATGTTGTAGGTTATATTTACGAACATAAACATTAACACTTCGCTTCAATATTGTATTACTTTTCCTGAGCACTCTTACAAAAAAGTATTGTGCAGTTATTAATAACTTCTACGCGTATTTCTCTAATTTATTACATATACCATAATAAGGAAAAGAAAACTACAACTCCCCAGTGGCGCAATCGGTTAGCGCACGGTACTTATAAGACAGTATAGTTGTGAGCAATGCCGGGGTTGTGAGTTCGAGCCTCACCTGGGGAAAATTTTTTTTCGCTTCTTTAAAATATTTCTGTCATAATACACGTAAAATACGATACGAAATACAGAACAGAGGTTACGAGAAATTAGAATCGTATATTTCACAGAAACTAATGTAAATATATATTATATATAAAAAGTAATATGTTTTATTTCTTTTTATGATTATAAATATTACAGTATCATTTTTTTTATATATTATAGTATTAAGCCAATGTGTGTTTTCATAATAATTTTATTTATATATGCATATTATTTACAGGATGTATGTGAAATACAAATAACAGGAGGCAAGATTGTTAGCCTGCAGATTCTGCAGGAGTTGCACTATTGAAATCTTTATCTTCCTCAGCCTTATTATAATCTCCTCGATTTCTCCATGCAGTTATGTATGTCCTAGGATGCACTGGATAAAATCCAGCCAGTCCAAAAAGTTCAGCAACTGGTTTAGAAACGTTAGCATGGCTTCCTAACCAATATTGTATACGTTCAAAATTCAAGGCAATTAATTTCTCATTATATTTATTTGGCATAGGATCATAAGTTCCCAACTGTTCTATCGGTGCATGATGCTGATTAAGTTTTGACTAAAACAAAAGTATTCGATATATTGTTTATATTTTCAAAAAGTACATTGTTCAAATAAAGTTTCTCTGCATAAAAACAGTACAATTATACGTATGTTAATCGACCCACTCAACAGTAGGAACTTACATTCATTACAACAATATGAAAGAATGGTCTGTTTGAGCATCCATAACGTACAAATCGTATCACTTTAACGAAAGGTTGCATACGACCAGTTCCCGAAGAAGGATGCAATGGTAATCGCGGCATTTTTGTATAACTGTTTCAATACTTTTCACTTATAGACTCAGGTTATGTTATTAAACAATTCGAGTAAATGCTGATAGGTACTGTTTACTCGTAGTGTTTCCAAACATAAAATGATGTAGTAGTATTGTACATAGTTAAACTAAATTAAATACATTATTTAACATACGATGTTTTGAACCGGCTCGATTAAATACTTGCACCACAAAATTATTTCCAATTATCTCTTCTGCTAGATTTTTTGGTTGAAACTATAATCATCAAACGTAATTCAGAGTGAAAACATTCATTGAAAATCAGTGAAGTGAGCCCCAGCGCTATCTGTCGAGTAATACAGCAAGCACTCTGGTTTTAATGATCATTCATCTGTGGATGTTTATTCAAATCTCTAGAATTAACACTGCCCACCTTTAATAAAGCGTTTTGTTATGTAACTACAAAACATATACCAAATAAATTTATCTATAATCTATTTAAAAATAATAAGAATTAGTTGCCTTCTAAAAATGTTTCGATTCATTACAAAATACATTGTAGAATGTACTAGAGATGGCGTGCAAAATCACTAACGGTGATTTATCACAGTGATCGCCGAATCACGATCACGATCGTGATTTAACTTAATTCACGACCGTGATTGCGATTTTTTTATCTTGAGTGAATTTGCTCACTGCAATCGTAAGTCATTAATCTTTAAACAGAAAAACGTATTCAAAATGATTTTACGATGAATTACATTACTGTGTTTGTAAAAATCAATAGAAAAAAACAAGAAATTCTAAAAGAATGATTTGCTAGGTAACATGTAGATTATAATTTTTAATCATTAATTTATTCATTATTCTTCATTGTTTCTACTTATTCCTTCACTTTATACGATATAACCCTAATTTTTGTTTTGATGTCGTTAATGTGAAATATACAAATTATGTATCGCGTGTAAAGAACTGTTAGGTTTCTCCACCAATAAGAAACGATCACGGGAAATCACGAATCACTGTGAAAAATCATCGTGATTGGGAACGAACGTGATCGAATCACGAATCATTTATTTCAGTACCTGAAATAAATTTACCAATTGGTAGGAGATCTTTCTCTTACGCCACTTTTTCTCCTAACGGAAGCCGAGTTTGCTCGTAAGGGTACATGGGAGTATCCCCTTAAGATTCGGCGGAGTAGAAAGGCGCATGTGCAACGCGCTATTCTCTATGGCTGGGGGTTTCAGTGTTTCGCCGTCGCGAAGGCCCGAGGCGGCCACGCGCAGTCGGAGCGGTTTCCGTTGTTGTCAGTTTGACGCGCAGTGCTGTGCTGTGTGTGTCGAACCAGCGTGAGTGATGTTTCGGATCCCTGGATTTGTGCAAGAACCGTTTTTCTCGTACACGACGAATTCCATGAAACACTACGTGTCATTTCGCGCATGACGGAATTACCCATACGTCACGTTTTATCGATGATCGCCCGACGTTTCGGCTCGTGGAAAAACAAGTGAAACCGGTGGCAGAACAAAACAGGGGGTTTTGGGGGGGCATCGTTGAATCATTTCTGATCCGTCAACGGCTGCATTGCTCCTGTCAAGTTTTCGCGGGATGCACGGAATCATCGAGCTGTTTTACGTGGTCTAGCTTCCGGGTTTGCAACGCCTGGAAAGGTACTAACCTCGTTTCGCGCACTTTTTTTGTTGTTGTTGCAAACGATCCACGGCTAGGATTCTTTCATCATCATGGTCGATGCTCCGAAAGTGGAGTTCGCTCTTGGCAGCGAGGTGTCACTGGAACATTTCTTCAAAAGCAGCTTCGCACGATCATTCGTCACAAATTGCCGCGATTCGAAGTCGTTGGACTACGAGCTACTCGACAACACGATCGCCGAGGAGCCGGAATCATATGGGAACGCCGGCAACAATAATTTCTTCTCACTCGTGAACTTCGGGAATGTAACAACGGCACTGGACAACCGGGTTTCCGGCAAGGGCAACTCGAATCCGTGGCAAAAGATCGAGGTAAATATAAAGAGAATTTCTATGGCGATTGATTCCCAGGCATTTGAATCGTTGTGTACATCTCGAATGATTCGTACCGTTACCGGTTAAGTGACTTGTGATTCGTGCGGGTAAATATTATTCGAGTAACGAGTCTACATTAAAATGTCACTTTAATAATTGTTGTGTACACTCGGAGCAGTTCGACGACCTTTTTCACGGATATTTCGATTTCGGGGCAACAGCGCGATTAGGCTCATTCCACGCGAAATCGGACACTTTTTGGAGCACCATTTCGGATTTTATTCATATTTGGATATGTTGTAGTCGTTAGCGATATATAAACATATCTTGACGGATTTTTGAAAATTTGAAAAATTGTTGATTCTACTAATGTTTGAAATTTAGGGTCAACTATTTTTCAATAAATCATTACTATTGAATTAACAAACTGATCGAAATGAGCTTTGTGGGTACTTACAGTGGAGACATAAGAGTTCTAAATAAAAATTATTTCGGTTAAAAAAAATGTTTTTTAACTATTTATTTTGCAATTGTTTTAAATAAATGCCCTGTTTTTATACCGGGGAACTATTTAAAATTTTGAAAAAAAGGAGGATATAGACCAATTTGTCCTCTTTATGGACATATGTTCAAAAATATGGACACTTTAAAATTGGCCGTATGAAAATTCATTTAAGTGAACACTGCGGCGATTTACACTGAGTCGACCGATATACGTTTCTTTTCACGTACATTCTTAACATTCTTCCGTGGATAGAATTTTTTATAATAGACTAATTAGGTATATTTTATAATTGCATTAAACACACCGACAATTCTATCGTATATTCATCCCCATTTACTTTTTAACATATCCCTGTATTTATTTAAAATTATTTATTTACATTTCCTAACGGATGTTCCATTAACAACATTCCAACGTTAAGTTTCGCCGGTTTAAAAACGACCGACTCTATAAATCAATACAGGGTTTCGTTAGACCGTAGAATTTCATTGCCCGTTCGCAACGGGACATTTTTTTGCCAGTGTGCGCAAGTGTGTCAACGATTCCTCTAAAGACAAAAAAGGCCCCGCGAAAAAGAGAAAAGAAATAGCTCCATATACAGAAAACTATTCCCGCAAAACCTTGGTTACCAATTTACGATCGGTTAAACCATTTTTCTTTTCGTTTGCTTTCCCCAGGCGGTCCAGTCCACCGCGGACGTCAATGAATTGGAGAAGTTGCGAAAGGTAAGTTTCCCATCGTCGAATATATTCTCGGCATTAAATGCTCCGTTTCCACGCGAATAACTCGTCGGGTCGTTTACGTGGTGGGATTCCTTGGATATTTCCTGATACGTTCGCCGAATGTGGTGGCCCCGAGAGGGTTTAAACGGTACATTTAAATAAGCAGGGCTTTAGCCCGCACATGCGCAATAAATCAACCGTTCGGCCAAGGGGGCAGGATTAGAGGCGCTATTCGAACGGCTGGCGCGGTCGTTACGTTTTTCTGACCGATTGACCGACCCTTTGTCCATGATGGTTTCGCGAAATTATTCGTTACGTGTATTGTTCCCTCCACTCTTTGGCTAACCTGTCATCGATACCCTCCGAAACACCGGGTATGTACGGGTATTAAGTGAACTTACACTGAAAATAACCTGTCCGAATAATTTCGTGAGCCACCGTCGCGGCAGTCGGGTCAGTACAGTTATTTTGACACTTCTCCTGTCGCGGGAGACTGTTGTTCGATATTTTCCACGAAATCCTCCGTATTTTCTCCGTTTATTATCGTCGTTATTACGCTTTATATAACCACCAGGGAATCTTTCTTGGCTCGATACAACCGTTTCGACGTCGAACTTTTCGTCGATCTTACCGATCTCTGAGATCGATTTCTGAACGATTTGGGGGGGGGGGAACCAAGATGTTTTCATGATACTTCCGAATTTTCTCCGTTTATTATCGTCATTATTACGGTTTATATAACCACCAGGGGAGCTTTCTTTGTTCGATACGATCGTTTCAACGTCGACCTTAACGATTTCTGAACGATTTGGGTGGGAACCAAGATATTTTCTTCGTGGATCGAGTTTATTTTTATCGTTGATTATGTAAAGATTCTCGCTGGAATGGTCACCTGAGGGGAACCGATATGATGTAATTGTCCACGACCGAAGAAGGTGATTACTTGTATCGGTTCCGATCTCGGTTTTCATGTTTCCTCGAATATCGTTTCCGTTCTCCCGTCACGGTGACAGGTTTCAACCACAGAAATTAAGTGTTCTGATTTTTGTTTTCTTCTTTCAATTTTGTTTCTCTTGTTCGTAATAATTAGGGTTTCGCAAGAACGAAGTTCCACGTAGGGTCGATCCTGAAACGCGATATTGTAAATTCCTTTCACTTTGTACGATGACTTATCGCCGACAGGCGCTGTTGTTGTTTATCCCGGTTGCACAAAGAAAATGATAACCGCATGTTGCTTGGTTTTTCGACCTTCGCGAGCATTCTTGCGAGACCACGAACGTACAACGTTCAAGCGTTATTAAGTGGTTGGTATTTAACATGCAAATAGAAATGATTATCGTGTGAATTTTTTTTATATTCTTCGTTCTCTTAGATCCTATATTTTTAAATTGCTTCTGTACAGTTCGTTGATACTTCACGCGTGATGAAATGTATAATTTTCTGTAGCAAAAAATCTGGAGGTATTTATTTTTAACGTCAAATAAATATCAGTGAATAAATGAACGAATAAGAATTTTTTTGGTTTCATTTTTCGATAAAAATGATTCTTTTGGTATTTGTTAATATTTTTCTTTTAACGACGAATGAATGAAGGAATAAGAATTTCTATCTGGTTTTGTTTTTCGATAAAACTGGTTAACTGGGGCAACAGACGGGTTCGATCCGTTACTGTATTTATAGAATTGTATACACAAAATCTTGGGTCGTTGGAATGCACGGAACTTTTAATTCTCGTTTCTTTTTTTCGTTCGTTCGTTCTGTCGGTTCGTGACGGTATTAAAAATAAAGCTGTGGAACTGGGTCGTAAACCTTGTACCTGTATTTATACCTGCACTTATTGGTACTGATTTCTGAAAAGAAACATTACAGGTATTAGGGGGATATATTGGAATCCTCCTATAACGGATTCGGGGAATTATATGTATACAATATATATCAGGCTGGTCTTACCTGGCTTATTCAACTGTACTCTCGTGAACCAAACTCGTAAAACAACAGAAAATCTATCTGTGAAACTACTTTGATCGTCATTCGAAATTAAATAAAACATTAGTTATTCAATTAAATAGAACATTAAGATTCTTAAATTACCGCCAGAACTAACTATGATAAACGTATATCCATTTCCATCACATAGATAAATATGACAAATTTTTGAAAATATACAAATTTATAAATTAAGTACCATTGTCATTGTCATATTGCAGTAAAAGTTCCTAAATTAAACAGAACATTATTCTTAAATTAATACTAGAAGTAACTAGGATAAACTTAGGTATATCTATTTCCACCGCATTGATAAACATGATTAAGTTTTGAAAATATACAAATCTATAAATAAACTACCTTTGTCACTTTCATATCGCAGCAAAAGTTGTAAAAGAAAATACAGTATTAACCAGACGTGTTGATTGCTTTGGTACTTCTAGCGTTAAATAAGGAATTAACAATGTCCGACAAGTAATAGGAACAATTAACGTGTCCCAATGAAATGGCAATAATCTCTGTTGTGCCCTCAAGGAACCATAATAAACTACCACTCATAAATACTTGCCCTCTCATCGAAGAAAGGTTCCTTCGGTTTTCATTATAAATTTCATTTTGGGAACTTTCAATGAATAACCATGAATTTTGCTCTCCTTTATGGCATTTATTGTGAGGGTAACCAGTTCTTCTCGATTGAATTTTCAACGATACTTACGTATAAATATCGCGTCGAGGGGTCAACCGGCTAGCTCGGTGATTTCAATGCGTGGCGCATCGCTTCGCGATACCACCGAACCGAATGCACTTCCAGAAAATGTCGATACGATACGGGACACATGTTGCACTCGTCGTATGTGTACAATTCGGGCAAGTTATAAAAATATTACAATATTATAATAATAAATATTTCAATATTACAATAATATAATATTGTAATAATAAATATTACAATAATACAATAATACAATATTATAATAATAACTATTACAATATTACAATAATACAGTATTATAATAATCAAAACTTTTTTGAAACTTTGATTAAAGTAACAAAAACTCGCACTGTATACATATGTATAAATTCACTCCGGACAACCAGCGCACTTCTTCTTGGACGAGTCTCGAACAACGTAAACGTATTTCTTAACTTGAATAAACCTCTAATTGTAAGTTGATTTTAATAAAGCGTTGCACTCATTTTTCACTCAGAATCCAACACGTGCTTAAAAAAATGGGTCTCATATTCGGCTACTTTACTCTTTAACGTCCTGATTACCAAATATATAAATTATTCTAATTATTAACGAAGTACCAATAACACTGTCACAAATCGCAAATATTAAATAAAATAAAAACAAACCAATCATTTATTAATATCATATACATATATTATAGGAACGGAAAACTAAGAGTTTCGGAAAAGTATAAATTATCTATGTTTATTTAATCTGTCAGAATAGAGGTATTTCGATTTGCTAAATAACCGTGAATATTTTGGTTATCCACAGAAGGGTTTGAAAAGGAAAGAGCCGTCTCGTCGATCGCGGGTAGGTTTTATTTCAGCGGAAGTTCGCTCGAGCCCCTTCCGTAATTATCAGTCGTGGAACACTACTGGCAGCTTTGTGCCTTTTTGTCTTCCCCACATACGAATGCACATTGCGTGTTCCCCGAACCCGTGTGCTGACCCGAGGAAACACTAACATTTCTGTGCCTCTATATGTGTATGTATCGTTGTTTCCTTTTTCCGTGACGTGTGTCACACACCATCCTGCTGTTTTTCGATTCGTGGCCGACAGGATGTGCCTACGACGTCGGTGTACACACACACGTGTAAGTGTGTGTTGCACCGACCAAAATCACTTGGCCGTTTCCTCTTCTCGTGAAATCCCCCTTTTGAAAGCGTCCCAACAATGACGGGGCCAGCCGAGAATAAGGTGGCCTCTTCGCCTCGCTTCGAAAGTTTCGGAGTCCTTTTCGTTGACTTGTGATTTCTCCTACGATCTTGTTGTGATGTTATTCTGCTATGGAAACTGGAGGAAATTGGGCAGAATGAGTTGACGCTTTTTGAAAAAAAAAAAAAAAATATGGTTCTTTATGGGGGTGAGACAGGTGAATTCTCGTTATTTCGTTTGTTGTTTATTGTGAACTAGTGAACACTTATCTTGTTCGATTTGGAACAGAAACGGGGCGAGTTCAAGCCTTTCATTACGAGTATACACTGCGTGACATAATTACAAAATCACCTTAAAGTTTTCAATCCTTATGTATTGTGGTCATAGTGTCCTAGTTTGATTTTTTTTTCCATGCCATCCTAATCTCCGTAAAAAAATCTATAACTACCTAATTTTTTATGAAAAGGTTTTTTTCGTAACTATATAAGAACCTAAAGCAGATAAATAAATAATATGATATAGTAAGTTATTTCATACTTTTTAAACTCTTCGTCACTCACTTTTTCAGTTAATAAACCATTCTTTTTATGTCGGGGTTTTTAAAAATTTTTTATTTAATTTTATTGGTTATAACAACTATTCAGAATAATGATTCTTCAGAACTGTTTTAGTCGGAATTTTTATAAAACTGTTTGAAATAATTATTTTCAGAACCGTTTCAAACCCTGCTCGAAATCCACGGAACGATCGCGTCGGAGACGGGAGTAAATCGCTCTGGTATTACGAAATTCCGAAAGTGGAATAATAAAAATTGTATTTCCGCGTTCTTTGTGTCGACTTTGTCACTCGTTTCCATTCTCATTGCGGACGTGTTGTCGCGGGACGATTTTAACCGAACAGTTTGAAATTTTCAGGCATTACGCCGCAAAAGGTCTGTACGGGTGGTTTCTCTTGCGGAGAAAAATTCGAAAGTAGCATTTATCGAAATTGTATAGCACCCAATGTTCACGAATTCTATGGAATCGAAATATCTTATTTCGTTCCTTTATACTGGCGGTAATGGTATATCTTTCTTTTATTTTCTCTGTTCGAAAAGTTCGATTTGTTTCGAAATAATCTTACAAAA